CATTCCTCCATGTGTGTTGTTGTGTTTCTGTGTTAGAGATGTGTGTGTGTGCTCTATATTCTCTGTAGGTCTGGGCCAGTAATTGAAAGGTTTTAGGATCAAACCCGAGTCTAAAAAATACTGGGTTGTTTCAACCCAAATTTGGGTCAAATATGGACAAACCCAAATGTTGGGTTAAAAATGCAATCTAAAAATATACAGTTGAAATGACATTTTTTAACCCAACATTTGGGTTTGTCCATATTTGACCCAAATTTGGACCAAGAGGATTGTCCCTGTCAATTTAAATTTAAATAACTTTATCATTGAAATGTGTTTGTCCTCGTCTCCATCCGTTCTCTCCCTCCATCTCGTCCAGATCTCGTGACCAGTGATCCAGGACGAATGTGAGATCAGCACGTCTAAGCGAATGACCCGCTGACCTGCTAAACACTCTCACAGGGTCCTGTAAAACTCAAATCAGCTCATTGTGACCATCTCTGACTGTGACTTTTGCCATTGCTCGAGTCGAAATCTCAAAATGTCTTTTGTTTGGTGCTTGTTGATCAAGCACAGAAGCACAGAGGCTTTATTGCTTCACGAGGGCGGTTTGGTGATACAGCAGTTTTAGTTTGTTACGACACTTTTCCAGAACCTTCCACTGAGATACAGTTTTCCTTAAAAACACATTACAGAAGGTCTGTTGAAGATGCAGGGCTCAGTAGAGTCCCGTGGCATTGTGTGAGCCCTAAATTTACTTGACATTTCTGTGGACAACGGCTGGCGATCATTGAAATTCTGTGTTAGTCACCTAAAATCCAACCAGCTTTTAAATACTGCTGTTTTTACCCCACAAACAAAGGCAAAGACAGCTAGAAGTCAATGCTCATTGCTTAGTTTATTGACTTAAAGCTAAAGCATTTACAGTTTTGTTATTCGCAATGTAACATATGCATTATTCATATAATACAAAACACGAAAACAGCAACACAAACTATGTACAGTTGCCAAAGCCTTAGGGAACATCTTAATCTTAATCTTAATTTCTTAATTAAGAATAAATCTTAATTTGTATTGATTTTGTTTATCGATTTCCAAACATTTCTTGCATATTTATAAGTCGGTTGCTTTGAAATAAGTGGAATATCACACTCTAAACACTAAAATATGGACAACCCCAGCCATTGGGTTACATTTTTAAATTACATTTTTAACCCAATGGCTGGGTTTGTCCATATTTTACCCAAAATTGGGTTAAAACAAGAGTGCACTCTTGTTTTAACCCAATTTTGGGTAAAATTATTATATATAATAATGCATGGACATCACAGCTCATGTTATATATGAAAGCATGCAAATGTAATTGTATTATATTGTATATTTACACATTCTCGTCTCACACTCTAAACAATGCTGGGTTGTTTGAACCCAAATTTGGTTCAAATGTGGACAAACCCAAATGTTGGGTTAAAAATGTAATTTCCAATTTTAACCCAACTTCAACTTTCACTTTCAACTGTAAATGTTTTAATTGCATTTTTAACCCAACATTTGGGTTTGTCCACATTTGACCCAAATTTGGGTTAAAACAACCAAGCATTTTCTGTAGTATTCTAGGGTGTCTTTTGTATCGTTCTTAGGTGATAAAAGTCATACGCAAGTGATATTCATACGACTCCACTTTGCTTCAGGGATGTTTGTGTTATGACTGTAAAAACTAATATTCTTGATTTGTTATCGCAACTTTTTTTATCTTCTGTCATATCAACTTAATGCGAATGTGGTTCAGATAGCATCATATTTTGAGTTTCTATTTTTTAAACCAATCTCCGTTGTTGTATGAACTCAAAACTTTAAGGCAACTAACTTACTTGTTTAAGTTAAACCAACAATATTTTTTTTACAGTGATGTCTGATAGCTTACCAACACAAGTTTGAGTTGATTCATGTGATTGGAGAGTTCAGAGTGTATATGAGGTGGTTTCGATGTGTACAGTGTCAGATTTTCAGGTCTTCTCGACCCACTCATCCGTTTGAGAGGGAGTCAATGGTAACAGCATCTGAAATGTAAGAATGTCTCTCGGCTCCGCTCAGTAAAAAGGCTGTTTGTGCTCGAGCTCGTCGACAAATCCATCTCTCCGTGACGTCCATTGAGCCGACAGCACAGTCCCCGTCCCGTGATGGGGACGTTATCCAACACGCTTCTGTAAAACGAGCCGTGTTTATAGCAGTTCGCCCTACTCAGAAACCCGGGAATCTCCGTGGAATTATAACCATCGTTTGAAATCACGGGAATTCTCTTGTAGAATTCAAATAAACAAATAGAACATATTATCGAGGAAAGAACTATTATGATTCCCAATATAAGGCGTCAGAACGAATTTAAAGCACACTTCATTTTTATTTGCTCTTTGGCAGTTGTTAAGTTTTTGTTTTGTATATTATATGCATATGTATTTTGCTTAGTAAAAATAACAATGATGTGTACATTTTAAAACTGAATAAAAAATATATATCATAAAAATAGGAATTTTAAGGATTTAAAAGTCTGATTTACATCACTTTGTTTTAAATGAACTAAATTCTGATGATGTTTACACAATATCAGTATTATATCAATATCAAGTGATAATACAAATACATTTTCAGTTTATAGGATCTTATTGGGATTTCGTCCCATTATATGATTCCGATATAATCATATAATTTGTAATCACAACATTTTTTATTTTGTCAAATCAACTTAAATAATTTATGTGGTACAGATAACATAATATGTTGAGTTTCTGATGATGAAATCAATCTCCTTCATTGCATTAACTCAAATTTTCCATTTCAATGGACTTAAAATTTTAAGGCACCCAGGTTACTTAATTATTTAAAGGGATACTCTACTTTGTTTGGAAATACGCTCATTTCACCACTCCCTCAGAGTTAAACAGTTGAGTTTTACCATTTTCTAATCCATTCAGCCGATTTTCTGATATTTCGAAGAATATCATATCAGTAACCAGACAGTTTCTGGTCTCATTGACTTCTATAGTAGGAAAAAAAATATACTATGGAAGTCAATGGGACCAGAAACTGTCTGGTTACTGATATTCTTATAAATATCAAAAAATCGGATTTGAAAACGGTCAAACTCAAATGTTTAACTCTGGGGGAGTGGTAAAATTAGCCTATTTCCCCCAAAAAGTGGAGTATCCCTTTAAGTTAAACCAACAATATTTTTTAATTTCAGGCTTTTGATATTCATAGTTTATCAGAACACCTCATTAAGTGATTTAAATGCAATGTAACACTACACGCATTTCTTGCATTGTGATTTTTGTATTTTTTTAGGTTTTATTTTTAGCTGTAATACCTCAGGTGACCATGAGGAGGCAGTAGTCGGTTTCTTCCCGTTTACTTCCCCTGACCCCACAGAAGTTCTGCACTAATGCAGTTTGTGCTAAACATGCTTTCCACGCTTAACAAGTGCGACACGTTCCTCACAATTTCAAGTCAGTCATCTAAAGAGAGGTATTTCATAGCTCGTACCAGTCGGGCTGTGGTTCCAGTAAAGCCCAGGAGCCGATACGAGAGGAGACCTGTGGAACAGAAGGCCTTTGTTAGTGAAACTCCTGCACGTCTGAGATAATGTCCCCTCCAAAACACTTCCCAGCTTGTTTTTCATGTTCATTGAGTTCAAGTGATGTATTTGTGATAGGAACTAATGGCTGCACTTCATTTACACTTTGATTTTATTTGAAAGTGAAAACTATATCTTAAGTGTTAACATAAGCAGTTTATCAGTGATACTGAAATAACACTGTGTCGCTCTAATCGCTTTTTGCACTGGATGAATTCATTTATTGTTCTGTGAAAGGATGATTGTTTCTTAATTTCCACTGAAATTACCACTAATTTTATTTATTAATTAAACATTATTAGTTTAATATATTTATTTAGAGTGCTATTTTATATTCATTCAAGATATTTTTTAATAATTAGAAAAGTATTATTTGTATGATTATGATTACTTTCATTCTTTTTACTTTTAAATGAATAATGCTATTTAAGTTATTTTATTTAACATTGTTATTGTTTATATCTACGTATGTATTTTTTATATTTTAGTATTTTTATATTCTTTATGTTAATTAATTAATTATTTAAAATATTTAAAATGTTATTTTATTTTATTTGTTCATTTAAATTATTTTTAAAATAACCATTTATATTAATTACAAATAATCAATAATTGTAATGACAGATTATTGGTTTTATTTGTGCATTTTATTGTGTTATTTTCTTTTACTCTTTCTATTTGTATTAGTTAGAAAATTATTTGTATGGTTATGATTATTTATTTGTGCAATGTTGTCATTCATTTAATTTATTTTCATTGTTACTTTGTTTATTAAACAGTTGTTATTATTTAAATCTGTGCATTGAAGTTATTTTGTTATTTGTTTATTTTTTTACATTATTTTAAAACAATTACATAATAAAAGCCTAATTATCAGAAATTGCCTGTATATTATGCGGTAAAAATCTTTGATTTAAAACCAAAACTACCGGCAGAGTAATAAATATATAGCTTATTGAATTACAAAAAAATGAATACTACATATATATATATATATATATATATATATATTTTTTTTTTTATATAATTTTTTTTTCTTTCAACCAAAATACCAAAGTGTTGAATGTCTTTACTAGGATTTCAGATACCATCCAAATGTAAGGAAATGTTATAATTACATAATAAAAACTTTATTAAAATAAAAAGTCTTTGATTGAAAGGGAACGTTTACCTGAAAATGAAAAGTCTGTCATGATTTATTCATCTGTTATTCCAAATCTGTCTGACTTTGATTGTTTGCTTTCTGTCCCTCGTCTAGATCAATGATTGGTGTGGGAGTTTTCTGAGAATCCACTCTAGCGCTGTGAATGTGTGTGTGTTTGTCTTGATATTCTAGAAGGTAAATCCCGTCGCTGTGTGTGTGAGATTACAGAAAAGCTCTCAATCTGACCTTGTGACCTTTAACAGGCGAAAGGTTGTGTGTGGTTGTGGACGTCACAGGAGAAGCCCAGAAGCCCAGACGGGTATCAGCTTTAGCGTGAGAGAACGACCCGACCTTTGGGCTCAAAGCGTCCCGCACACGTCCAGCAGAGGAGGAGGTATAGGGTTCTGCAGAGAGAGCCTATAGAGGTACAGTTGAGTCCGGTTCAACAACACTTACACATTCAGAGAGAGCCTATAGAGATACAGTTCAACAACACTTACACATGCTGAGAGCAAGTGGAAATCATTATCAAGGAATTTTGATGAAAGGATCTGTTATAGCAAATTTTCCTCTACTTTCCCTCTAAAAATGATTTAGGTCATACTGTAAGAGAACATAAATAACATTTGTCTATGCGTATATATATATATATATATATATATATATATATATATTTATCAGAAAAGCCTCTAAGTGCCATTTGAATTTTTTTTCTAATGATATTCTTTATCAAGCTTATATATTTAAGATCAGTAATTTCACTTAAATGACAATTCATAGGTAATCTTCATTGCCATTTAAGTGAAATTACTGAACTTAAATATACAAGCTTGATAAAAATTATCATTCTAGAAGAAAATTTCTAATGGCATTTAGAGAAAATTTAGAGGCTTTTGCAGCTGAACTCTTCATATATATTATAATCAACTCATATTATATATTATACATTTATGCAACCAAAATGTTTTAAAATGTAATTTTATATTTATAATTTTTTACACATATACACACACACACACACACACACACACAAATAACATTTATGCATCTGTACTTCTGTAACAAAAAAAACAACAAAAAACAGATACAATAATAATAATAATAATGTTTAATAAATAAATAAGTAAATAACACAATAAATATGGAAAAAAAATAACATGCAAGTTTTTAAAATGTTATATATTAGGGCTGTCGAGTGATTAATCGTTTTGCATCCGAAATAAAAGTTTGTGTTTACATAATATATGTGGGTGCACTGTGTATAATTATTTTATAAATACACACAGATGCATGTATATTTAGGAAAAAAATATTATTTATATATAAAATATTTATATTTATATATAATATAAATTATATATAAATCTATATACAGTATATCCATGAAAATATTTCTTAAATATATACAAGCATGTGTGTGTATTTATATATATATATAAATTAATTATACACAGTACACCCACTTCTATTATGTAAACACAAACTTTTATTTTGGATGCAATTAAGATTAATCGTTTGATAGCCCTATTATATATATATATATACAGTATATACTTTATTGCGCATTTTGGTTGCATCTTATTTTTTCCATATTTATTGTGTTATTTACTTTTTTTATTTATTATTATTAAACATTACTATTATTATATCTTATGTATATATATACATATATTATATATCATATATTAGTTGAACTTATGTATTAGTTTTTCCATATTGTTTATTATTTCATGCTTATTTAATTATTACAGGATTATATTATTATAATCATTTTTTCAATGCAGTGTTGTTTATTTTTTTATTTAAACATTATTATTATATCTGTTGATCTGTGCTTTTTAATTTAGTTAAAAAGCACAGATGCATAAATGTCATACATATATATATTTAAAAAAAATATTTTTAATATATATTGTTTGATGCATTATTTCTTCATATAATTTGTTATTAATGAATTCTTTCATGGTTGTTTAATATGAATTATTATTTGCATGATTATATGTATTATGTTCGCAGTGTTTACTTTATTTTTAAAATTAATTAAACATTAATAATTATATCTATTCATTTAAAAAAACATTAATTTCAGATACATATATATTATGTTTATATACATGCATTATTACTTGAATACTAATAAAATAGTATATATCATGCAAAATAATATTTGATATTCCCTTTTAATCAAAGACCAAGGCACATTGAAGAGACACTGCATTTCTATTTAGCATATTCATTTCTTTTATTTAGGGGTACAATAAAAAGAAAGAAACGTTTCAGAATCACATGTTATTGATTGTAATATTTTGTAAATTCAACAATGTTAAATACTTTGTGTATAAAAAAGGAACTGAAAACAAAGAGAGAAACACTTTTGATTGAAACACTGTCATTGTGAGGAGAGCGAAGGCCAATCTGAGGATGCCAGCACCAGTTTCTCATCAACTCTGAGACTTGTCGATTCAAATCTATCCTAGAATTAATCAAACAAAATGTCCATACTATAACAATATCTCAATCTAAAACGAAATCAATCCTGTAAAGTGTCCAGGTCAGCCTTGCCTCTGGGTAAAGTCTGAAGAATATTTGGCAAGCACAACTGTAGCTCACATTAACAGACCTCACAGGAAAACTCCCATGAGGCCACACACACACACACACACACAGGACGTCACAGAGGATCAAGTCTAATTCAAGATTCTCAAAACCAAAAATGCCACTGAAAGCATAAACAGTATAGTTATTATTTCCCTCTTCTGTCACTGCCTTCATTGCAGCTCTGCCCTGTTTCTCTCACAGTTCACGTCTCAGGGACGGAGGTTCCTTGATCTCTTTTTTGAGGCGGAGACGGGCTTGCTCCGCTTGCGTGCTGATGCATTGTGGGATTTGGTGGCACGCTGCTGGACTGGGACTGGAGCGGGTTTGACAGCCGCCGCCGCCGCCACCGCCGCCTCGTCTGAGTCCGGGCCTTCGTCTTCTGCACGGTGACACGGATATTTTACACATCTCGTTCAAAAGATTCACTGTGTGTGTGTTTTTATGATGTGATATTTACCATCATTTTCTTCCATACTGGATTTAGGTGCATCTGAAGATTTAAAAGAAGAAAAAAACAAAACAATGCATGAAATAACACAAAACGATTGCATGAGACTCGTGGGATTTTAGGAGCAAAATTGCCGGGTCATAATTCACTCTTGTGAAATTGTGAAAGTGACATAAATTATCAAATTTACAATACTGTAAAAATTTGTTATCACAACATATTTTCTTTTGTCAAATCAAACTTTATAATAATTTATTTAGTTGAAATAACTTATTAAATGAATCTCCTTCATTGTATTAACTCACTTTTTCCAGTTCAATCAACTTTAAATTTTAAGGCAACCAGGTTACTTACTTTTTTAAGTTAAACCAACAATATTTTTTACAGTGTAGTAATCACAACATTTTTTCTTTTGTCAAATCAACTTAAATCATTTATTTAGTTCATATAACATATAATTTTGAGTTTCTGATAATTAAATCATTCTCCTTCATTGTATTAACTCACTTTTTCCAGTTCAATCAACTTAAAATTTTAAGGCAACCCAGGTTACTTACTTTTTTCAAGTTAAACCATCAATATTTTTTTTTACAGTGTACATGCTATTTTCAATTATTACAACATTATTCTTTTTAGGTTCATGATTATTTTTAATTCATGCATTGGTGATTCATTCACTGGTCATTTAGGAGTGAAATATCTGGTCATATGATAAAATGATAATAATAAATTATGTTTGGCATATAAAATGGATCAATTTTTTTTAGAAAATTCAATAAATTAAATTAACCATACAAATAAGTATTTTTTTAAAACTGGCATGATTTAAATTGAGCACTACCATGGTGTATAAATACTTCACTCTTTAAATAAATCATAATTATTTGTTTTTGCATTACAATATTTAAAATTTTGTTGGAAAATGTGCTTAAATGTCATGCAGAAATCTCAGTTTCAAGTTTATGCAAAAAATTTTTTTAGGGTGAAGTGTGAGCTGGACATTCGGGATGTAAATATTCCAGACTGTATTTTGCTAACATAACACACATAATAAAAACGGACTCACCAGCTTTGGGCACGTCATTTACTTGAGGAGCTAAAAAAAAGGAGACTCGTGTCAACATTTGGACCATATTCGCTTTCTGTTTATTACTTTTTCTCATCATTCACACACTTCTCTCCAGTAAATCTGACACTCACCGCTGTTTCCCGCCTCAGCACTGGTGCTGCTCGCATCTAAAGCATACAAAACAGAATTATTTTTAATTGTCTAACACTTTTTATTTCTGAAAAGTTGACATGGTTCTTTCTTTAAGGCTACCTGCAGTTGCTCCGTTGTAATACAGAAGCTCATCTGTAGCCATAAGAAAAGAGAAATCACAAAATGAGATGTCTCAGGTGATTAAATGGAGATAAAAAAATTGAACTAAATGTCCTCTGGGTAGATCAGAATAGAGAAAATAAAAGTTTGTTTAGTCACCACTAGATGGCAGACTTGTAAGGTTTTCCTCAAATTGGTTAAAACTACAAACACGAATGCAAACTGTTGAAAAACTACAAACATGGCGGATGTGCTCGTCCGAGATCGGTTTTGATAAAGGGGTATCTAACCTGACTAAATATATGTATTCAATGTTATCCACATTATATTTCGTCTGCAACAGCGTTGTAAACTTTTATAAAGATGCGTGTGGTCATTAACTCTCTAGTAACACAAGAGGAGAGTCTCAACGGGAAAACACACAACTCGCAGAGCAAGTATGATGAAGCACACTCAAAAGTATGTAGTTTTTCTTCCCAGAAACAGTACATGCTTTAGGGCATAGTTTAAATTGGGATGCAACATTGGTGTTTCATTATATGTTCTTTAACATGTCAGAACCTGCTTGCCTATAAAACTAGAGGATAAAAAAGTAGCCTAGCTTAAAACCTTCAGTTTATCCCTACTCCAGCTTGTCAAACACTTTGTTTCTTCCTTAACTAACAATCATTCTCTCTCGTTTTTCAGGAACATCAACCAGTCTGGTTCTCAAATCAAGGGTACGGTCGAGTCCTTCAGAACTAACCGTCTCTCATCTGCTCGTGTGAAGGAGTGATCACTCACCGTTGGGCAGGTCGGGTGAGATCAGGTTCATGCTTTCTGTGAATGAAAACGCAAAACACTGCAGTGAACCAATACACAATACAGACGGTGACCCCAAAACTGAGAACGAGTGAGAAACTCACCAGTTGGAGCTTCATCTGAGGTTGAATCATGATCTGTGGGTTAATAGAGGGATTATTAGTTGTTGTTTTTTTTACAGATTTGCATGCAACATGTTGTAGCCTTCAAACCGTAGCCCTTAATCCTGTAATTGTGGACAAATGTGGGCACAGAGGATTTTTATTTATTATAAATTTTATATCACTGTCTTCGATAAAGTTTTGTCCATCCATTTATGGTGATTTTTCTTTTTTAGGGGTATTTTTAAAATTTATTT